TTGGCAGCCCCTTCCAGAGACACCTCCTCAAGGTGTCAACATGGCCCAAAGTGGGTTTGCAAATCGTATTTTTGCAGTGAGAGGATATTCAGGTTGCTATATGAAAAAATGCGCTCTTTACTGTATGGGATATCTTCAAAACCTTGAAGGAAGGCCGCAGTCGGAGAAAGTATGATTGTAAGGAGGGATCTAATGAGTAGGTTCATTGTGCATTAGCCATTCCCCATCCATTTTCTTTCGCGCATTCCCTATTTCTCTCTGAGTAACTAAATTTGTTTTATTGGCACTACCTTCACGTAGCTATAAAACATACATATTTCGCAAAATTGTAACACACGCTTCGGTCTTGTAAAGATTTTACTAGTTTCACGAAATTTTCAATTAATTTCATTGTACATTTCTTTGTCGTCATCATTCAAATAAAAGCACAGCCGGCAGAAGAAAATACGTATTCCCAAGAATGAGTGTGGGCTTCAGTGTAGGATCCACGGGTAAAAAAATTGACGCTCACAACTGCAATTGAGTGATTTTGCCTTTCAATCCTATAACACGTATTTTTCATAGAAAGTTTACTGAAATACCCTTGGATAATTGCTATGTATTCAAAATTACTAAAATAATTGAATGTTGTCATGGCTTGTAATACGCAAAATTTTCAGTTATAAGGTGACTCAGTGAAGTCGCCTGTGCAAAATAATGTAATCCAGCGTGCTCTGACGACATTGAGCAGTAAACGTAATTGTCAAAAGAAGAACAATGGTTTACCTAAACAGCGAAACTTGTCGAGCAGAAGCGTGTTTCGGAAAAATAAACTAATTACCGTCCCAAGGCATACACATATGTACACGATGCATTCCTTAACAACTTAATACGTAGTACTGTTGACCGTCCTTGCATATTCTTCAACTATAGTCTACTCGTCAAAAGATGCTTCAGCATTTTTGGGAGCGTTTTTAGTGGAATGGAACAGCACATCAGTAGAAGGACAGAAAGAATCGTGGCTCCATAATCGGACGAAAGCAGCGAAATCTTAACAGATCAGAAGCAAAGACAGACTGGCTTTAACAGATTGTCCTGTATAAAAAATGACCTTGAAAAGATTTCCAACTTCCATCCTGAAAACATCCAGTAGAGCTTGGCAAAGTGTGGCTTATCGCCAAGGCGTCAGAGCCGTAATCATACATCGCTGCTTATGCTGGCTTACAGATTCTCATGAGCGGTCTAGCATATTCAATTACAGACTACATTCTTGGCGACAAACCCTATCATTCGATGTGACCACGGTTCTATAGGATGGACCAGGTTGACACCTACATAAACCCCACGCTGTCAATAAATTGTCATTATATCTGTATTATTATATTATATATTATTAATTGTCTCTTCTTCCGACTCTACTTCAGTTGAAGAAAAAATAATGAATGGGCTCTAGTCATGTGATCGTTGACAAGTTCACTTGTATGGCGTCTACGGCCATCCACGAAAATGACATCAAAGCGCAGGTTTGCATTTAAATGCGGAAGCCGTCGTGACTCAGTGACTTCTTCCAGCAATTTCAACCAATAGGACAACTTTGTAGAGAAGGTGAATGCCTCTGAAGATTCCTACTTTGTTTATTTCGATTCGGGGATTATTTCGTAGGATCAAAAATACGCTACATGGACTGAACAGAAATTAGTGAATTTATTCTATGCTGTTGCTGTGCCAGTGCCTCCACTTTGTTGTGGCTCAGCTTCAGCTTCTTCGATTAACTGGACGCGTTTGTGAATTGCTACGGCATCGATTTTACGAGTGGCTTAGAAATAGATACCACCAGAACCTAAGCAATTAAAAGGATCTCCTAGAAGGGCACGTAGGTGAACCTTAGAGTGACAGCGGATTTGACTCGTCACCCGATATTTGTGATGTGATGTTGTCAGTGGCCTTCAAGATTGTAATTCTGGGTGAATATTAATCTGATCCATACTGGCTGCTACGAGTGCAGCCTTCAATTAAGGTGAGCATAGGTGTTTTGATAATTGCGGTATTCCGAATGATTTGTCTATACCCTCTGTTCTTGTGTTTTTGTCTCTGTGGGTGAACTGACTTTACTGACCAATAGTGAGCTGCCTTATAAATTATTTGAACTGATGACTCGGAGTTCTAACAAAGAGCCCCCCAGTATTTTATAAGGAAGGAAAATCACCGTGCACCTCAAAAAATTTTGATGCTTGTGTTGATATGAATAAACTCTTTCTTAGATCATGGCAAGTTCGCGACCTTGATATTACCTACGACTAACCTAACTTCGATGATTTTGATTTCCAGTGTTCGTCATAATCTTGGTAGTCCATACTACCTCATGGAACAACTTTAGTAACGAAGAGTAATTCAAACGCAGGATATTACATTAACAGTTCGCTTCAAATTTTATGATTTTTCGTAAAATTGTTGCTTTGCTCATTGCTTCATTGGCAGCCCCTTCCAGAGGCACCTCCTCAAGGTGTCAACATGGCCCAAAGTGGGTTTGCAAATCGTATTTTTGCAGTGAGAGGATATTTAGGTTGCTATATGAAAAAATGCGCTCTTTACTGTATGGGATATCTTCAAAACCTTGAAGAAAGGCCGCAGTCGGAGAAAGTATGATTGTAAGGAGGGATCTAATGGGTAGGATTATTGTGCATTAGCCATTCCCTATCCACTTTTCTTTCGCGCATTCCCTATTTCTCTCTGAGTAACTAAATTTGTTTTATTGGCACTACCTTCACGTAGCTATAAAACATACATATTTCGCAAAATTGTAACACACGCTTCGGTCTTGTAAAGATTTTACTAGTTTCACGAAATAATTTCATTGTAAATTTCTTTGTCGTCATCATTCAAATAAAAGCACAGCCGGCAGAAGAAAATACGTATTCCCAAGAATGAGTGTGGGCTTCAGTGTAGGATCCACGGGTAAAAAAATTGACGCTCACAACTGCAATTGAGTGATTTTGCCTTTCAATCCTATAACACGTATTTTTCATAGAAAGTTTACTGAAATACCCTTGGATAATTGCTATGTATTCAAAATTACTAAAATAATTGAATGTTGTCATGGCTTGTAATACGCAAAATTTTCAGTTATAAGGTGACTCAGTGAAGTCGCCTGTGCAAAATAATGTAATCCAGCGTGCTCTGACGACATTGAGCAGTAAACGTAATTGTCAAAAGAAGAACAATGGTTTACCTAAACAGCGAAACTTGTCGAGCAGAAGCGTGTTTCGGAAAAATAAACTAATTACCGTCCCAAGGCATACACATATGTACACGATGCATTCCTTAACAACTTAATACGTAGTACTGTTGACCGTCCTTGCATATTCTTCAACTATAGTCTACTCGTCAAAAGATGCGTTCAGCATTTTTGGGAGCGTTTTTAGTGGAATGGAACAGCACATCAGTAGAAGGACAGAAAGAATCGTGGCTCCATAATCGGACGAAAGCAGCGAAATCTTAACAGATCAGAAGCAAAGACAGACTGGCTTTAACAGATTGTCCTGTATAAAAAATGACCTTGAAAATTCACTCCCATTCTTGCCAATCCTGAGGATAGGTGTCATATGTGGAGTGTTATGAGAAACGGTAGATTCACTTCGACACCATTATTTTGCATTATTTTTGATTCTCTTGTTTTGTGTGGAGAATTATTATTTTCTCTTTCCTCAGTTGGAATAACTGATATTATATAAATTCAGTGTACTCAAGCGATATAGCCGAACTAAATGTAGGAACACCCATAGCACGATTTCAAAATTTTTATTTCTTCACTTATTCTGGAGATTTGTGCTCGAAAAACTTTTGATGTCGGATCGAAATCCTTTGTCGTCAAGGTTTGTTTCTCTGGATGATAAGTGAGCGAGCGGCGAAGGCAACCGATTTATGAGTGCTGGTCTGTCAAATATGACGAATGGGCAGCCGCAGGCAAGCCTAGCCCGAGAATCTGGAGTCAGACAGGAAAAGATGGAGCGCTGTCGTAAGTTGACCTTTGACCTTTTGTATTTTTTTGCGCCACCGGCTAGCAGTGGCGGTCGGCTAGCAGTAGCGCATCTATCGTCAATCTTGCAGGTGGGAAATCACCCGTCACAACTGCATGAACTTTACAGCGTCACCTCTTTCCCATAAATGTCACTGGGGGGGGGGCGGCGGCAGTGAGTTACTAGTTCCGCATACACCGAGTCACTGCAGCTTCCGCACATGGTTAACGCCACTTGTCCAGTGGCCACATCCCAATGATCCTTGCTGTGTGACGAGAACAAACGGTACAAAACTGGTTTGCGAACTTGACTGGCAGGACGACAGCGGTCGCAGCATAAGCTTGAGGGAAACGAAGCGTGCAGAAAGTACACGAACTTAACTTTACATAGCAATAAAGCGCACTAATCAGCACTAGATGCAGCGGGCTCCAGAGTAATAAACATCGGACTTTTGGTCATCAAAGCTTATGTTCCGTTCTTTTTGCTATGCTCATGAGGCTAGGGGCCTAAGGGTATCGTTTTTCTGTGGTAATGGAGGCGGAGCTTTTTCCGCGGAAGATTCCTTCAAGTATGATATCTGCAGATGATGATTGCCTCGTAACCTTTTCCTCCCGATAAATGTTTCATATTTGAGCAGGGTGTTGGATTTCAGCTCTTGCTGGCCACAGGTAGATAAATCGACGATCGTCTCCCCGTTGACATGATCATACGAAAAACTCTTTGCCGTCCTGTTTTCTGTAGAATTTTCAGTAAAACCATTTTTGCTCGAATTTCTCCCGCCTTTCTCGCATGTGTTATCGCTTATGTGTTAATTTTTCACCGTCTTGTGTTCTGTGTTCTAACTAGCAAACAAAAGTTTTTCGATAGTTCTGTTCATGGTGATAAATTACCTGGCTCCCAAATCAAATCTTTCCGCAATTTGAAGAACTACGTATTACTAAGCACAGCGAATCTGATTTAATGCCTCACTTTTTTTCGTTTAGGGTTGCGTGCTTCAAAATAGTCATGAACGGAACTGAAGCGACGCCCAGTATTCGCACTCTAGCTGCTCTGCTAATTCTAGTGCCGGCCTTGTGCGGTCTATTATTGCAACTTCTACTTGGCATTGCCCTTTATTCAGTGAGATAAACACCATTATAGCAGATAACCTGCAGATCCGTCATAGCAACTTTTATAGGGATGGAAAACATTTCGAGGGAACACCTTCTATTTGATTACAGTACAGATCATGTGCTGTGATGTATACGCACTCGCTCTGGACCTTTACGCTGCATTTCCATTAACTCTTACTGGAATTCAGGTGAGACTCTCAGATGCTCTCAGTTTCCAAATGATAGTTATTTGAATTCATTGAATTCAGAAGTTTTGTGAAATTTTTTGTGATCTCGCTATTGTAATCTGATTGCAAGCCTCAAGTACTGAGGACGCAAAAAAACATTTTGGTCGCATTTTGGCCCTTTTTCTTCGCAGAGATTGCCGTCGTTGACGGAAGTTCCTCAGCAAAATATTCCCTAAATGTCCCTCTATAAGTACACGCAGGCCCTCCTTCACTGCCCTCACCGTCTTCAGAATATGACGTCATCTGTCACCGTCGTCAAGCTCAAGGAGGCCTACCGTAACTGCTTCAGCCTGAAGCTCTTACGCAATTTCGTGAATCGATTCAATGTTGGATAGTTTTCTAGGGACATTAGCTCTAACTATGCAAACCCCTCGGAACCCGTCGTAACGGTACACGATCAGTCGAGAACCCCATTGAGCTCGACCAGAGCACCATGTTTCCGGGGCAAACTTTTCTGATGCCGTCCACGTAGGTGGCCACTATGAAGATTTTCTTATGAAATGAAATGCGCTCTTCAATTCTAAGTGGTGGCACTATGGTATGAGATGCGCTCCTCATCTCTAAGTTGGGAGCACACGCTTTAAGCTGAGCAAAGCGTGAATAAATCCATTTGGGTCAAGAGACACAATGTCCTTTTTTGGGCCCCTTGTACAACCACACGGGTTCCTTTGTTTAGCCTCGCTTTATAGCTCTCTATTCGAGGGAACGGAGAGGGAGATATGTTGATCATGTGCCACTTCTCTACTCGAGTTCTGGGGGGTAGATAATTCGTACGCCACTTTACATTTATTGCTGTGAAACCCTTTTAATAAATATCGAGGCTTTGCAACTTCTCGGCATAGCAGAGACGCTCATTAAATAAGAAAGCTGACCCGAAATAGAAAAAGCCAGCCATCCCACTGTCTTTAGATAGGTTTCTAATTTCTTCAATTTCTGAGGCTTTTTATTTATAACTACCAACTAGAACCTTCCAGACACCAGACTAAATAGAACATTATCTGGATTACAGATGGAGCATGTCCATCAATCCACTGTGCACAGACGGTTTCTATTCAGGGTTAGCTTTTTAATTTGGAGATGAATCATACTACAATCATCTCGTGACAGGCAGCCTCACTGCTTCACCCGAAGTTCCTCACATTTCTCAAAGTTCCTCGAATTGAGCATCTAGTATTTTCACCGGTTTGTCTACTGGGTGAGAGTTCTATCAAAATTACAAGCACTAGTAGCCAAGCTTGGACGTTAAGAGAGTTCTAACGCCAACCACCTTCAAACACGATTCTTCTGCTTCGTTGCTGAATGCAAGAGGGTTTCGTGCTGAGAACCGACACCTAATGATTCTCGTGTCAGGAATGGAGACAATAACGGTGAGGCCTTCAAACTGAAAGTAAAGCAAGACATGGTCTGCTTTTTTCCGAATTCACTTGATCTCCTTGTGAAAAAATTCGAAAAAATGAAAAATTGGAGACCCTCATTCTTCGGCTTCTTTCAGAGCATCTACCTTCTCGATAGTGATGTGCTGCAATTATGTTGGTGTATACTGAATTGCAAGAGCATATCGGAAAAATGGAAAAAGTAGTGAAGCTGAAAAACAGCCACAGTGCCTGGCAAATAGTGTGCCGATCTGGGGCAATATGTCTACGGCTACCAAAGCAGTTAAAAGAAGAGAGAAGATTATGTTTTTTTTTGTATTTCGAACTGTTTTCAGTACATGGGTGACAGTGTGACGCTTTACTATTTACCCTTGGCATTCGAAGGAATAGCATTCAACGGCATATTCATGCTTTCGTTTCTTCTCACAAGCAATCGATTCCTGTTATTCATATTTCCCAGAGTACATCGACTGGTATTCACGGCAACTGGCACAAAAATGCAAGTTTTTCACGAGAGCACTTGCCCAACTTTTTAGAATATCTGCAAAAGTTGCTTTCCATGCACGACTGGTGCTTTTAAATGCAGGACGGGACAACTTCAACCTAAAACCGACCAGTGCTTGATCAAGGATGCGTCCTATTGAAAATAACAGTCATAAGCACCGAGAAATTAATAATTTTAAAACTTAATGATTTCTCGGTAGTCGGTTGATCAACAGACAGACTGAGCTTCTTTTTGCGAAAGAACGCTTCCAAAGGGACAAGACTTGTCCTTATCTTGTTAGCTGATTGACTCTAATGGTAGAGTGACATTTCGAGTTGCCCATTTCCCTTTCTAAGAAAGGTGCTCTTCTCAGACTCCTAGAACGAATTCTATTTTGTGAAAATTGGTAGTGGTGTACTCATCAGTATTGCCTGCATAGATATCTCTAGCCGCTAGCTCAGCTAGTTGTGGAGCGTCGTTGACAAAATCTTTATCTTTCTCTTGTGTGTCAAAGTATTTCAGTGGGCTCTTCTAGCTCAGCGAGACACAGCCGTTCACTTTTTTTATGAGGAAGTTTGATAAAAAAAAATGCACATTAGGCCGACCATCAGCCTGACGTTTGTTTGGTGTTTCCAAGGATTTGTCCAGGTACCGCGCAAGGACGCACATGGTTCAGTCTCCTGGGCTTCTATTCCTCGAGAAATGCGTCAGCCTTATCTATCACTGACTGAATTCGGATTTTGCATTTCTTTCTGCTCTTCTTTGTAACGGAATATTTTAGCACATGACATGGAATATTCTATCCGCGTCGCTACCTCAAGCGTGGTGTTCAGTCTCCAACGTGAGCGTAGAGGCTCTGAAAACTGCAGAATCTAACAAGGGAAGGATACCAGGTCGAAGTGGCCATTTGTAACGAGACATACATCTCTAGATGTGTTTTTGGACGCTAATCTCGAATCTGCTTTCTAAATCTGCGAAACAATTTGTGCGCCTCATTTGCAAGTGACCGTTTCTGGCACCCGTAGCGCATGCGTCATGCACATTGCCAAGTAAGCGTGACTTTCGTGTTCAGCGCATCAAACTACCCCTTCCGACAACTTTTGGTCCAAATCCAAAAATTTTGACCTAAAGTCGAAAATGTGGGCACACACGACCGACAGGACACGGCAAATGACGCGCACAGTGTTCGAAGCTCTTTGCCAGCTCTTTCCACTTATAGGATAGGCAGTCGCTGATGATTTAGCATGCATAAGAGTCCTTTGAACAATGTTTTCAAGAAAAAGCAGCTGAGAACTCGCCAAGAAGTCGATCTCACGACCTCTTGCTCGTCGGTGCCACTGCACTATCTCGCTTCATAACTACGTTCAGAGAATCGTTTCGCAGATTTGGAGAGCAGATTCGAGATCAGCGTCCAAAAACACATCTAGTGGTGTATGTCTCGTTACAAATGGCCACTTCGACCTGGTATCCTTCCCTTGTAAGGAGTGGGAGCAAAGCCAAGTGTCCTTCTTCTTCTTCATCACTACGTGTTTTCTCCTGCATGTCTTGAGAACTGCCGCGTCCGGTAGGGTAATTTTCCGACAAAGACACAAATCTCTGTACTAAGGGAAGTAATTACATTCAGCGTGTAAACCTCGTCAACACCAGCCCGCTTCCTATAAGCATTGCCCTCGACCGGGTTAGTGCCATAGACAGGGAGTCAAAGATGACTGCTGTTCATACTGACGCTCCAGTCGTGTTGCGATAATATTGACTGGAGTGATCAGAGGTAATTCATTGAACAGCGCGTCCTCAACTAACTCGGCCACACCGATGATGTTCTCCCTTGTTCGTCAACCGTCGATGAATCATAAACTATGCTCAAAAACTCTTTGACGCGACCAAGTTCGACGCGACCAAGGTGACCTTACTTGGAGTGAAAGTTGGCGAAACAAAAGAATGCTCAGCAGATCTCGAGGGCAGTAACTCAGAGTCAATGGAAACGAAATTAAGCTCGTACGCAGAGAGTCAATGAGTGAAGTGTCAAGAACTGCGACAACGTATCGTTCGCAGCAATGCTATCAAAGACGCTGTCGTTAAAGCCAGAGAGCGGATCTATGCAAATATGTTAAGGGCAATAGACCAGACACGGTGGGAAGCACGGCTGTTTGATTGTAACCTCGGGAATTAGAACAGTTGGACGATCACAAATGCGGTGGGAAGAAAATTTCAAGAAATTTCCGTGAGCAAACAGGAAGAGCACCTATAGAATTTGGGGATGGTTTCAGATCATGACCCGTTCATGTCAAATGAATAACGGAATAAATCTTAACTTTTAACTATAGATACTGAACGAAATGGGTGAGTGTAGTTACGCTTAGATTTTCTAATACTGTTGACTGAATTCCAGCAGAAACTTTCACCATATCTCACTGGTATGTCCTCAAGGATGATTCCGGTATAGCTGAATTTACCTTTTCAGCGGCTTGCTATGACAAACTCAAATGCTCGAAGACTCATCATTAAGCGTTCTTAAGTTTTATGAGCTCTGAAGCTCAGCTTTCTGGCATCTGCTGCCATCGCATGCTGATCACAGTCCAGTACTTTGCTTTGTTTAGACTTTCGCTAATGGTATGGGCTTACGTCTTCACCCTCATTACTGTGTCAAATGTAGCCGGATGTCGCAAGGAGTTTTCAAAAGAATGTGAGCAAATTCAATTCGTCTAACGAACAATTCAATGCTAGAACTGTTGAAGCAATGCACGTTTGTACTGTTCGATTTCTCCATTTTCGATTTGTTTCTTTTTTGCAGATTTTTACTTTTGGTACAACTGCAGCTATGGATCAAAGGCTTATCATTATAAAAACGTGAGCATTTCTGGTGAAGGATTGAAGCACTTAATTCAGTTTATTAAGAAGTTGATTGGCAGGATTTTTGAAATCTGTTCTAGTTTGTCTACATAAGTTCTTGCGTGATAACCTCCTTGATGACTTTGATGTACGTGATTATCTATATTAAACTGAAAGTGGGCAAACAAGGTTTGGCAGTGAGTTTTCACGGCTCTGTCAAGCAAGAAGTCAAATATTTGGTCCAGGTAAATCAAATGAATCTTTGGAAATGTTTAACATTGCGCAGTGAAAGAAAGCAACGACTGATAACAGAACTCCTACGATAGAGGCTTCCAAAAAACATAGTATGCAGAAAAAAGCGTCTCGACGGTGCTCGCAATGGAAATGTTCCCAGTTCTGCCCCTGCACGAACTATCCTCGTGCTCCAGAAACGCAACATTTGCTGCCCTTGTTCGAACCTGAATTCTGTGAATCTCGTTTATGGAGGTTCTATCCTCTTGTATAAACTTTTCTTTATCAAACAATGTAGACAGGCAGCTTGCAAATGTGGAAATATCCAGCAAATGAAGCAAAAAGATGTTTTAGGTGGAGATCTGATTCTCACACGCGTCATATCGTCTGCCGTGGCGTCATTGTGTTAAAAAGCTGAAGCGGTCTATACTGTTTTCACATTAGCGCTAATGAGTTTCGAGCTGGCACATATTAGGAAAAAACAAATACACACAATAACATACACTAATTTGTTCTAATTCTTTCCAGACCCTGCTAATATGTGTTCTCATCTTTTTCGAAGTGACTGGTTTCATATTCTTGCCTTTTTTGGGTGTGCAAGGCTATGGTCAGTTCTACTTGAATATACTTCTCAACCTTATTATCATAAGTAATAACTTAATGACACCCATTGTGATACTCTCATTCAACAACGATGTCAGAGAACAGCTAACTGCCTCATAGACACGTGTATATCGTACTTCTATGACCTCAAACAATCTTTGGATGTAGATTTTTGAAGCAATTTCGAGCGAGCAGCCGACTCTTTCCTTTGATTGTACCTGTTATCTATCGTTTTTAAGTAACTTGCGTTATGTTTGCTGATTTCGGATCATCGCTTGATAAAAAATAGTAGGATTCTGTTGATTTACCCGCGAAGTGGCCGATGAGTTTTATGTAGAACCGTATTCAAGCTTCCTTCTGGCCTGAGTGCTTTTGTGATTGATTGGATTAATTGAATTGCCTGTCTCAAGGTTTATTTGCTGCCCTATAGCACGATGTCTCCTTAGTGTTGAAACCTACCCACCTTCTCTTTCAATGTTGGCAGCAGGGTCAACCGTTGCTTGGACAAAGTCCAGCGAGGGGGGTGGCGAGGATCGTTTCGACTGACCGAAAAGAGTAGTAGTATCGGTATTCGCAGAGAGTCAAAGTCGGCGGTGAATACGTAATTGTGAAGAGGCGCATAACTTTCGATCCTGCTTCTGCCAACTTATTTAACCACTAACGAGTGCATGGCACGCCGCAGAGCAGTAAGAGTTCTGCTGCGGAGAAGCGGAGCGGCGGGGGTGAGTTTCTATATGTGGACTGTTCACCCTGACATCAACGATATGCTCCTTGAGAGGGAACCTCTCGAATAGGGCTGGCCGAACCAGACAACCGAGAATATTGCTTAAATTACAAGCTGACCGAGGCGGGTTAATTGTATGGGCTAAGGGGTTTAACGCAAGAAAAGTTTGGCGAAGAAATATTTGCTGTGCCGGCTGGGATTTCTGAAGAAGAGGGTTTAGGTAGCTGGTTATGAAGGCCGAAAGCTTTGGTGCAGGAGTCACAGCGGGTCGTACAGGATACGCGTTCCAGAGGGGGTAGCAGGGGTGGACCCCACAAAAATGTGTGTGTTTGAAAAGACTGTGGTTGTCTTGAGTGCTGATAAAACTCGCGGGTCTGTAAGAAGGTCGTGAGGTTCGGCGCGAAAATTTTTGTTGGAAACAACAAAGGAAAACGGGAGCTCTAATTGGGGCAGGAGGCTCTTTGAAAGGTGTGTTTCGGATTGAAGATAATAGTTACGTCAGAGCTATCATCACCGGGAGAAAGCCTAACCTTCCAGGTGGCTCCCATGTATGTGTGGTTAAAAAAAGACAAATATTGGCACAAAAAGTTCAATCTGAAGAAAGTTATAACAGTTCAAAGCCAAAAAACCAGCGCTCTGCCAAAAATCGGTCCGCGATTTCCCAAAACGGTCCAACGGGGCGATTTTTTGACTCCATCAATTTTGAAAAGAGTTCAAGTATTCGTTGGAAAGCTCTAACCTTCTAGTTTATTCCGGGGGACAAGAATTGAAGGTTGAATCTAAAGAAAGTTATAGTCATTGAAAGCCAAAAAACCTGGTTGTGCACAAAAAACGGTCCAACGGGCGATTTTTCGAAAAAATACTTTCCAAAGGTTTGAGTGTTTTTTTTAAAGAAATTAATCTAGAGTTTCAAAAAAGGCTCACCACTTCTCACACGCTTTCCTTTGAAGAAAAGTGCAATCTTTCAAATGAAAAAGTGTGCATTTTTGCAGTTTTTCATTCTCTACCCTACTATCGACGCAGTTTTGAAGATACCGCTCAGACTTGATAATGCTCCGAAACTAGCAGTCTCGTAAATTACAAATCTACTCAGCGTTTTGAAAAATATTATAGTTGAACAGAATCACGCTACAGGAGACTGTGCGCTCCAATGCAGACGAGGCTCAACCGCGATCAATCCGTACGCAAACACACACACAAATACCAAGTGTATAGTACATAATAAGTGCAGTGTGTCCCAAAAGTGTAGGGACACCCTATTTTTCTTAGATATCTCTTGAGGCAAATGATTTCTCTCCAAGTTTTTATCAACAATGCCTTATCACACTAGGGTACAACTATATAATTGAAATTGGGAAGGAATCTCGCGATGTTTTTTTTTCTGTGATTTTTTTCTGAAATCATGGCGTCCCAAAAGTATAGGGACACTTCGGCGTTTCAACTTCCCGAACGATATGCTTAATAATTAAGAAATCAACAATAACAAGTATAATCGAAAAGAGTAACATTTCTTCTTGTTTCGACAAATTGAATTATCCGTTTCGGCATGCTTTGGGCAGACGATGTAATTGTTTCCGGCAAACTGTCTGCATTTAGGCGTAAACTTCCCGTGGAGTGTGCCCAGAGGTTCTCTATCGGATTCAAGTCAGGAGATTTGTGTTTCTCTCTTGGAACCACTCCATTGTTGAGACACTTATATGAACGGCGGCGTTGTCTTGTTGGAATTTGAACTC